GCACGGGGGCGCGCTGCGACGCTGCGGCCGCGACGAGCGCGGCAAACGCGGCGTGGTTCCCCCAGGCGGCCGGCGCGGGCGCGGGGGCGGGCGCGCCTGCTGCCAGCGCTGCCAGCTGCTGCATGAGGGCCTGGGGGTCCACGGGGCCGTGGTGGTGGTGGTGGCGGTGGGGCTTGGGGGGGTGGTAGTGGTGGGGTTTCTGGTGGTACGGGTGCCCCTGCGCCTTCCGCAGGGCCTGCTCCGGACCGTCCTGCCTGGGCCGCGGCACGTAGCGGCCGAACGCGCTGCCGGGCTGGCCGAGGGAGGGTGACGGCCTGCCCGGCGGCCGGTCGCCGCGCTGCGGTGGCTCCTGGGGCGCCTGCCGCTTGTGGTGGTCGGGGCTGTGCCTCTGCCTATCCTGCTCCTGGCGCCCACCGCCGTCTGCAGCGGCCGCCGCCGCCGCTGCCGTTGGGGGTGTTGCACCCGAGCCGCCCGACAGCGGCTGGGCGGCAGTAGTAAAGGGCACCTCGACTGGCATCACCACTGTGCATGCAGGTTGGGTGGGGGCATCCAGGCACCGGTTTTAGAGTGTGGGGAAGTGGTGCGAGTGGTCGTCACGCGTGGGGGGGGGGGGAGGGGGGCGGCGGACACGCGGGTTGCCCTCTCTCTTCAGCATCATGAGTGCAGGCGTCGTCGATACAAAGCAGTCGCTCGCACTGATGTATAGACGCTCATGGCATGCTGGTGCGGGCCCGTGACCAGGCGCCCCTTGCCATCGTTCGGCTTTCCCCAACGAAGCGCAAAACCCCGACCCACCCGCCGTCGCCTGTGGCGTGTCCTCACCGCCGGTCAGGCCGGCCGGCTTGGATGGCCGTGCGTCTGCTTCACAAAGCTTGCCACTGCCGTCGCTGCTGCCATTACTCGCTAAGGGAAGGGCACTGGAGGCGAGTCCGTGCTCCAGCTTGACCTGCTCGGTCGCATCGCTCCCGTCCACTGCCGCCATGTACACCTGCCGGCGGGCGAGCGGCAAGGTCGCGGTCATTACAGGCGGTGAAAGGCATCATTACGGCCCCCTCAAATTGCTTCTGGGGTCATCTTCCGGGTTGATGCGCGCAATCAGTCGATTCGCGTCGGGGCCACTTTCAGCTCCGATGCATCTCCGTCGCCGACGCGGCAGAGAGGCTCGCGCACTGCCCACCTGATGAAAAAATCAAGGTCTTTACGCACACTGGACCTGCGCCATGGGATACGGGCGGCGTGCTATCTTGGCGCCGGTCGTCGGGTTGGGCGACCGTAAGGACAAGCGGACAACTAGTTTTATCGGTTCTGCCTCAAAAGACAGTCCAGTAGCCGTCGGTGCGCGCCGAGTGCTGACCCTCTGCCGCGGGCGAGGAACAGACGTGTGTTACTACAGTATCGCGAGTGTTTCGTTGGGCTTGAAATGGGCTGACAAACTGTTCAAAAGCTTGTGGGGGCGGCGCATGGGGTTGAGCACAGGGAGGCAGGTCGGACGCACAATGATTTTGTGGGGGTGCGCCGCCACCGGGAGAATCGATGCAAATCAACACGAAGCAGGCATCGCGGTCGCCGCCGCACGACGGCACCGCTCTGTACTGGCCTAATCATCTGACTTTTTCCTGATACAAGTCCGCCAGCACCAGCCAATGCTTTACGACGGGCTCCCAATTCTGCAGTTGCAGGTGTGGCTTCATATTCAGACTGCGTGCCGGGCACGCCGTGCCCCACCGGGATAGCGTGCCCCACCGGGATACTGTTGCCATATTGTTGCAGTTTCGCCGTGGTCACAGTGGGAATAGCTGGGTTTGTCATCAAAACTCCCAGCCGACTCTGGCAGCGCAGAAACCGCACTCGTTCATTACTTCACTGGCAGCAGCAACCCAAGGTGGCTGCGCTCGCACTCGCCGTGCGCGATGCTCACCAGCGTCCCGTGGCAACCCCCGCATTGGCACGGCCCGAAATTCCCGCCTGCGCCATGATCGACTGCGTCATGGCTTCCGCGGCCGCCGCGCACGCCGCCTGCGCGGACACTGGGGTCACCCCTGCGTCGAGCACCTTGGGCGGCGACAAGTGCAGGTACGACATGGGGTGCAGCAGCAGCTTGGTCGCCGGCGCCGTGACGCACGAGACGCAGCGCCAGGGGGCCGCCGCGAGCATCTCCTGGTAGTGCGGCATGGTCACAGCGCGCAGGATGGCGACGCCCTCCTGCCTGTCCGTCGCGGCGCGCCGCACGCGGGCCGCGTCCAGCCGGTGCTCAAAGCTGAAGGAGCGCACGTTGCCGGAGTCGTCTCGAACCTTGGCGCTGTAGGTCACAGCCACCGTCGGCTGCGCAGCCGCCGCCCAGGCGCGCGCCGGGGCCGATGCCGCTGATGACTGCTGCTGCTGGTGCTGCTGCTGCTGCTGCTGCTGCTGCTGCTGCTGCTGCTGCTGCACTGCTGCTGCCGCTGCGGCCGCCGCTGCCTCGTGCGCCGCCGCCCGCCTTTCCGCCGCGGCACGCTCCTCCGCCCGCTGCTGTTCAAGCCGCTCCAAAGCGCGCCGCCGCCGCAGCGCCTGCTCTAGCCGAGCGCGCGCGTCGCGCAGCGGCGCAGCGTCGCCTGCAACGATTGCGTCGCCCGCTATGCATGCGCCCACGGCTTCCTCCAGGCGGCCCTGCGCCTCCAGCGCCAGCACCTTGAAGAAATGGCCCTTCAGCCACGATGGGTCTGCTGCGATCGCTGCCTCCGCCGCCTCCAGCGCCGCCTCTGGCTGCCCCAGCTGCATCAGCGAGTTGGCTTGATTGCTGTGGTATTTGGAGACCGATCCGTCCGCCTGTGCCGCCCCGCGGTAGCTGCTGAGCGCGTCCGCAAAGCGGCCGGCGGCATAGCGCGCGTTGCCCTCGGCGTTCAGCGCCTCGGCTGCGGAGCTTCCTGTGCCGGCCATGCCTAGGGTGGATTCAGGACAATGCGCCGGCGACCAGTTTAGTGTGTGGTGGCTGGTGCAGCGCTGCTTTTTTCAATTGTTTGCGCGCGTGCAGCAATCCACTGCATCTGTGGACGCATAGCGTGTGCCACAAGTAACTTTGCGTGACGCATTTGACAGTGTGTGATTGCCCTAATTGCTCCTGGTTTGCCCAGGCTAACACTTGCGGCTGCGGCCCCTGAGGGTGGCGCATCAGTGACGATGTGCCCAGCACAGGCCTTGCCACCGTTTAGCCGCAAACTCTGCTTCTAACCGGTGGAAAGCGTAATTAAATGATTGCTTGTTGATTGCATGAGCCTAAACGCTCATAAATCGCGCGTTTAGCTGATTTTCCCTGTTGTCACCCGTCACCCGAGCGCGGCGCGCTGCGCGCGCGCCCCGTTTGTATTTAAGCCCCCCCGCCCAAGGGCAGAGGGCGGTCATTTCATTCCTGACGGCCACAGTGCGGTTGCCGGCATGCTTCCGCAACTGTTGTAACAATATCACATGCCTTTGCCATAGAATACATTTAGGAGGCGTCCGCCCCCGCCA